AAGTTTTCTCCAAAAATTTCAGTTCATAAAATTAATTAGGAGATTTTATATTAATTTTTAAAGTGAACAGTGCACAAGTTAGGGTAGTAGGTTTAAAAACGCCAGTCCCCAGGGTGATTTAAATGTTTAAACCACCGGTCTGCAATGTGTTAAGATCCATTTGAATATTATATCGGCAAGTGTTTGTTATTGTTTTCCAACCAAAATTTGGTTCACATTTCTTCTTGTCCCCATCCAAGTTACTTATCCAGCCCCACAAAACCTTGTGAATGTATTAACACTTCGCGGACTGGCGATTTAAATATTTAAATCACCCTGGGGACCAGCATTTTTAAACCTATTACCCTAACTTGTGCACTGTTCACTTTAAAAATTAATATAAAATCTCCTAATTAATGTTATGAACTAAAATTTTTGGAGAATACTTAACAATGCTTCTAGAAGTGCTTGAGAGTGATATTTCTGGAAACATTCCCCTTTGTGAAGTGGCATTACACAGAACTTGCAATGTAGACAGTCATACTCATTTTTTTGTGAACTGTGCAAACACAGCACTGCCTAGAAAGATGCTTCCCCTTGGAATCAAACAGTTCCGCTACTTCAGACACTTGCGCTGGGTCCGATGGAATTTGCTTCACCCATGGATTTCTAGTAAACTGTCCCAAAGCAGGCGTTTTGTCTACTTTTCCCCATGCGGCTGTCCCCGCAATGTTGCTACCCACACTTCTGTTGGAGCTACTGTCACTTTCACTGTCTGCGGTCACAATTTTTTGTTCGCCCCTGTCACACTCACTATCAGACTGTGAGTCACTATCAGTAGCAGACTCACAAGGGACGTCACCAATCATGCGTCTGCCTGGCACCAGTGCAAGGTATATTGTGTTTCAACATAACTGTCCTAAAATCATAAAAATATGCCACCAGTCTGCCATGTTTAAAAGTGCTGGGCATAAAAATATGCCACCGGTCTGCAAAGTGTTAAGCTAATCCAATACCTGGATCAGTGGCGAGAATTTTTGGATGTAGAAAAGAGAAAATGAATAGGAGGCTGGAGAAAACCGGACAAGAAAAGCTTCATAATTTCCACTCCTTACCAACCATTAAGATGAACATATCAAATACAGGAGGAGGAGGTAAGCTATGAGGATCTGGACTGGATTCATTCATCTGGATGGATTAGTTGGTGGTATGTTCATCTAAAATTTTCAGTTCTTAAACAGCAGGAAATTTCATGACCAACTAAGCGACTATCACCTTCTCAAGTAAGACCTAACTCAGTGGAGTTTATTAACTGCACTTGGAAAATTAACTACAAACATGAACTTTCTAATCACAGCTCAGTCAGTAGTGTGACAGGCTTACAGGCTGGACAGCCAAGGGATGAGGGTTGCAGTGTCCAGATCTGCTGGACCCACCCAGCCTTCCGTCCATTTTGTACGGGGGCTCTTTCCACTGGGACGCAGAGGCTAACAATTGTGGAGCTATACCTTCACTCTCTAATGTCTTAATGGCACAGTGCTTAATTAAAGCACTAATTTACATTATAATTAAATTTACTTACTTTGGAAGTCGTTTACACGTACCGTAACTTCATTTGCCTTTCTACCTTTCATTAGCAGTGTTGGCAATTACATTTCCAAACTCTGAACCAAATTCCAAAACTTTCACATGAAAGTTCAGAAGTTTTCATTCAACTGGAATACTAAATATGGATGTTGCCAAATGTCCACGACTGAAATTTTAGCTGACAAAATTGTGCTAGTACCAGACGTAATATTGCGAACAAATTGAGGTGATAACCCTTCTACCTGCTGTTTGTATAAACTTAACACTGTAATGGGTGGGGCTCTAACAACAGTTTCTAAAAACAAAAATTCTCAGTTGTATGCATTTGTAGATAAAACTGCAACAGTCAGAATCGAATAGGCTTATAATGCATACATAACACGCTCCTGTCAAAACATCATCATACTAGGTATGTTATCCAATCCTGAGTTCAAATTGGTTTGAGAAGTATCATAATACCTGTCATCCAAATCTAAATCAAATTTCAATGTCGGCCATAAGAATCATGCCAAATATTACTAACTCATTTGTGGAGCTGAACCCTTCTTGAGAAGCAGCCAACTGTGCAGCTACTCTAAAACTTTTAGGATTTTACAGAACCCGAAGGTTCATTACTGCGTTCACAAGAGCACTCCACTGTTCGCTATCCTAAGCCAGATCAATCAGTGGTCTCTTTCCTTCTGGCTTTCCCACCAATACCCTATATGCATTCCTCTTCTCCCCATTTGTGCCACATGCCCTGCCCATCTCACACTCCTTGACTTGATCATTCTAATTATACTTGGAGAAGTGTACAAAGTATGAAGCTCCTCATTATGCAGTTTTCTCCAACCTTTTGTCACTTCATCTCTCTTTGGTCCAAATATTCTCAACACCGTTCTCAAACACCCTCAGTCTATGTTCCTCCCTTAATGTCAGAGACCAAGTTTCACACTGATGCAGAACCACAGACAAAATTATAATTTTGTATATACTAATTTTTATGTTTTTGGACAGCAGACAAGAAGACAAAAGGTTCTGGACGGAATGGTAGCAAGCCGTACCCAAGTTCAATCTCCCCTTAATTTCCTCCTGAATCAGGTTTTCATTTGTTATTGTCATTCCCAAATATCTGAACTGTGCCACATTTTCAAAACATCTATTTCTTATCTTTATGTCATGATTTTGCCCTGAGTTTTGGTGACGAGACAGTAACATATACTTAGTTTTCTCTGTGTTTACTTCTAGACCAACCTCGTTACTTGTGTCAATTAAAGTTTGTGTGTTTCTCTTTATGGTATCTATGTTATCACCCAGTAGATTCACATCATCAGCATCGACCAACAGCTGATGTGTCCCATTTAATTTCAGTCCCTCCTTGTTTTCCTGGACCTTCCTAATGACATATTCTAAAGCAAAGTTGAAAAGCAGTGGCAATAAAACACCTTGTTTTAGACCCTTCTGGATTTATCAGACAAATGTTTACCTATACAGACTTTAGTATACATTTCATTTAAACACATTTTAATCAGCCTAACTGGTTTCATAGGTAGCCCAAACTCTATCAGAATATTGCACAATACTTCCCTCCTAACTGAACCATAGGCTTTCCTGAAGTCTATGAATAGCTGATGTACTGTCTCATCGTACTCCCATTTTTCTCCAGTATTTGACAAATGCAAAAGATCTGATCAGTAGCTCATCTGTAATGTCGAAACCCACACTGATGATCCCCAATAATTTAATCTGTGTATGGACTTCACTTTGAGAGAAGAATATTGGATAAAATTTTGTATGAAGTTGATAGCAGTGATATCCCCCGATAATTACTACAGTCAGTTTTATCACCCTTCTTGTGAACTGGTACAATAATAGATTCCTTCCACTGATAGGCAATTTTTCCTTATGCCAAATAGAAGTGATTAGCTTATGGATCTTAGAACGTAACATTTCGCCTTCTATTTGAACAAGTTCTGCCAGAATTTGATCACTACCTGGCGATTTATACCTTTTCAATTTTGCAATAGCAATTTCGACCCCAAAAGGGCTGGAATCAGGTCTTAATGGCTCAGCTGTGTGCATTTCTACCTGCCTAACATCACTGACCCTATGTACATTCACCTGAATGAGTGCTATATCTGCCTTACCTTCAGCTAGCTGTTGGCACAGAGCTGCTGTGGCAGATTTGCTGTGGTGTAGGTTGATTTGAAGAAATTTCATGATCTCTTCCAATTGGGGAGGAGTCACTTTTCATCTTATGTCCCTCTCCGTCCTTGGACTGGGGTCTGTGTGAAGAGGCTCCCTGATCTGCTTTGCTTTGGTCATCCGGGGGCTGGGTATCTCATCCCCTTCCTCCTCAGAGACCGAGTCAGAAGATACTGTATCTGTCGCAGGTTCTACCCAGCGCTGAACTTCAGGATCATCCTGCACCTTAACAGTCCCCTGTGAGAGTCCTGTAAATATTGGGAGTCCCGGTCTATGAATAAGATGAGTAAGGCAAATTCAAACTGACCCTCCACTTTCAGTATGCAAGCACAATAACCCATAAAATTTCAAACTTACACCTTTCCTACATAAGCTCCTCATGCTTGGAATGCAGCGAAATGTGGACGCGGGGAGTTCCTGGTTGGCCCTTCCTGCTTTCATAATCACCTACAATTGCAATTTCTTCATTTAAGTCTATCCAGCACTGTTACCAATGAGTAACAACTCCACGAACCTTGAATTTTAAATTACATTGCAACCACGAGCAATACAACTTATTAAACACGTGGATTCAAACTAACATAATTTGTTCAATGTCATTTTCCACTTATCTGCAAAATATCATGTCCATATAATTTTTAATCCACGGCTGCTCTTTAACACAAAGAATTTTTAATTTTTAACAGAGATTGACTTAGAATCACACGCAAAATACTCACTGCCAACCCAACAGCCACGAAAACAGAATGGGTACCTTGTTCTCCTTCCCATTCTTTGGCAGTGTGGACCGGTTTGCGACACTAGCGTCCATTATCGCTCACCAGTGTTTTTTCAACATCTTCGACGAGTTTATCGAATATTTTAATTTTGCACATTTCTTGTTTGAAATATGGATATATTATTGTATTTTAAAATACAGGACTGTATACGTTCTTGCATATAGCGAGGAATCTGAATATAATTATCCGAGTGCCTTCATCCTTCACATTCATCCATTTGATGTACGCCATTCATATCTACCAAACTATACGGTGGCACATCCAAGAAGACCGTAGTATCAAGTTAGTGTAATCTAACAACGCCTAACGAAATAACCTTCATTTCAGAACCCCGATAGAAGTCATACCGTTGAATAACAATGATGTGTGCAGCTGGTGGTATTTGACATTTGTTTCAATTTTGCACAGGTCTATGAAGGACGTTACCTCACGTCAGTACGAAAGTTAAGCCAGTAACCATTTGCACGGTATCTTACTGTTGTGTAGCAACACTGTTCCGCCATTTGGGAGGTGCGAAGTTAGGTTCTCGCCCCAAAAATAGGCTACCCTGATAGCCCTGACTAAATGCATGTCCTGTTATGGTGCACCTTACAAAATTTATGGAAACCCCCCTCCCCAAATATTACAAAGAATTAATCTACCAGAAAGTGCTTAGAAAACTTAAAAGAAATAAAAAAGTTTGATTTGTGGTTTTCATGGTGGAGACTATGTTCTTGAATGTGGTACTGGCAGGTCATAGACATTACTCAGGGTCAAAGCGTAAGCCAAGCAATGATCATCAGTTTTGTTTACTCTTCAACTCTGAGGATGGAGGTACTACATCCCTCTGAAACCTCAGTAAACTTCAACTGGTCTACATGGTATTATATCCTACAAGGACTGGTTGTGTAATAACTGTCCAAATACTGGAAAATGACTTTATTTCGCTCTCCTGCTTCAGAATGTATGAAACTGTTTCAGTTAGTGTCCTGTGGGTGTATAATAGTATAGTCCTGGTGAACCTTCTTCCAAAACCATATGCATCTTGGAAATGTTTGCCAAGATTTAGCACTGAACTGCATATCTGTAATGAATAATTTGTGATCTAGATAATGATAGATACTACTAGATATGTATTCATTTACATACAGTTTTATAGCAATATTACTTCCATTTAATTTCAAACAATTCTGTAATCAAAAGCAGTGTGATAATCCATATTTAATATCTGTAGAGTTTTCACTTCATTCATTACAGAGGTCTAAATTTACTACTGAATCAACATTTGTACTTGTGAAAACACTGGTTAAAAATTTATAAGATATGAGGCAACATATACAGAAACTTATATATTTGTAAGGTACACAGTTCCATGGCACACAAATTATCTAGCATGAGAGGTTGGAGAGCCCCCTAAGGCTTTTAGGTGTAGCAAAAACGATGTATTTTACACTCAATGTTTTCATTGGCTTTAATAAAGCAACTAACACTGTCAACACGTATCACATTTCTCAATGGCCTATGGCCCTGCACACTCTTAAACTGTCTCTGCATGTTACATGAGTGATTCGAGTCCCATGCTTCAGTTTGACTGCCAATTGATAAAGAAATTGTCTTTGCAAGAGGCACATTGGGCTAAAGTTAAACCTCCAGTGACTAAGAGTAGCTCTTAACACACCGAACAGAGTTGCTTGGAACCGTTTTACCTGTGGATGGAAACAGATCCAGTTTCTGAAATGCCATGTTCTACACAATACCAGGTGATGAGCAAAGTCCAAAAACTCAGTATTCCTGACAGTTTAAAATGAAGGTAAAGGACATTAAATCATCTGTCATATTTATGTTCCAATGTGTGTGGTAAAGTTTTTAGTTGAAACCAACAAACAATGTGTCATGAGACTTTTTAAGGTACATAGACATAAATCATAACATTTCAGTACAGTTAACCCTTTGAAGCAGGTTGAGTGTGAAGACGACTACTGACCAGCACATAATGCTAAGGTTAAAAACTATACCCTCACACCTCCATACCCCTTCACTCTGTAGCATCTGCTTAATTAAGCATAGTCACACATTTTACCTTTCACCTTTTGACCCATCCTAATATTAAAAAATTCAGTTCCTACTTCACAGAAGACATACTGTATCTCCATTACAAAAACTAAACAGTTAATGCTGTTTAGGGAAATAAGCACTGTTTATTCTGAGAATCATACAAAATATATAAATACACTGTTTGGGCAAAATGCAAAGTGTTTCAACATTAAAGCAGCAAGTCCTTATATTTGCCACTATGCTCCGAAGGGTTACCAATGCCTCTTATTATCAAATCTGTCTGAATTTAATGCATCCTGAAATACAGTGCACATCCATATGTTGAGAAAAGTAATGCTTTTTACACATCAGTTGTGGGGGGGGGGGAATTTTATAAATACAAGATTACAGACATCTGAGATATGATGCTATCTAGATAGACACTAACATGTCAGGGGAACTTGGTGTCTGCATCCTCAGAGAAGAAGGGTGAGCTGATGGTACATGATATGAGGAAGAGAGGACCCAGACATGGGCCATGAACTCGTATTACCCCGAAGATAGAGGCAGAAAGTTCCTCCAAAACACTAGTACCTATCTACCACACTATACAAGACACTAAGCAGGTTACTGTAGCAGTAATACTCTAAGACTCATATTTATGCACTCAGTTTGAACCACACCAACAATCCAGATTGAGAATATTTGTGGTCTTCCTCAATCCCTCCAGGAAAACGTGAAGACAGTGTCTTGATTAGGCCACAACTGTGTCTTTCCAAATCCACTCCAATTCATTATTTACGTATTACCCTACCATTTGATGCTATATAGTCTAGATACTGACAGTGCTGTGAAATAAAGCACAAAAATAAAAAATACAAGTATACAATACAACCCAGAAGACTGTAATCTTAATATTCATTGCTTCGAGAATCTCAGATCTCATTTCATTCAAGTAGCCCTGACGCTCTTTAAAATAAAACAAAAAGTTATACTTTATATATTCACTTTACAGTTGCATCTACAATCATTGCACAATATAAAGGTGAGTACAAATTAGTCAGTACTAAACACATGATGGAGACATGTACTATATGGCTGAAAATCCATACGACCTTACTGCTAAAATGCAGAAATACAAATAAAGAATAAAAGCATATAAAATTCTCATATTCCAAAGTCCATAGCCCTTACAGAATCCAGTACTGACACACAAAAATTACATCAACACTCGCTAAAATTAACATGAGAAATAAACAACATAAATACTGCAACTTTTAGTTGTTTCATTATTGATTTAACCCTTTCACTGTTGAAGAAGAATGTCACTTGTATTTTTCTCAGCTCATCTACCATGTTCTCAACTGTACAGGTTTATACAGCATCAAATGGGAAGATGACCACAATGTGGAAACCATCATTCCTATTTTAAAGTATTAGAAGACTGAGGAAAACCTCAGTCAGAAGCCAGTCTGTGGGTCTAGTCATACCAGAACATGTGTCAGCAGTGCACCACTCAACTGCAACATTTGATCAGCTGTGTGTTGGCCAATATTTATCCAATTTCCAGAATTTTGGCACCAACACAATATTTCATCCAAGCTTACGAATTTACATTAAAAGTTCAATTTGTATCCAAGATAATTTATTATATTTCTGACTCCAATGACATTTAATTAGCTGTAGTTTATTTAAAGACTCTCTAGTAACTCAATATAGCATTGGATAGTACTGAATAATGAATAAACAATTGATTGGTTCTGAACTAATTTATGGCACTATCCTGAAGTCTGCCTCAAGGGACTCAGGAAATCCACAGAAACTTAAGTCAGGGCAGTCAGTGTCCAGACGGAGATACAAAATGTAATAAAACAAAGAATTAATATTACAATTAAGCCATAAATTTATTTAATTCTGCCCATTATGCAGCATGTGCTCCTATGCTGTGACCACAGAAGGGATCTCATGGATTGACCCCCACCATACTCCCCTACATTCCCTTCCAGCTGCAACAATTCTGGTCATGCAATGTTTGTAATGATAATTTCACTAGCAACAAGGGCTCTGGACTGGCCTACTTTGTCCATAATCTGCTGGAGGGTAACAGAAGAGCAGGTAGACAGTGGGACTTCTTTCTGTGGCTTGAGTATCAGAAGCAGAAGAGTTCTGCATATGGCAGTAAGCAGCAAAGTTGCTTCAGTGTATAAGCACCACACCATGAAGGTGTGGAGGGCACGCGAAAGTAAAGCTCTACACATTTTAAGCATTGGTTGGAGGTTAGTGGTTGGTTTTGCACTCTGGCTACTATGTGACCCAGAGAAAGGGCTTCTGGGGCTAACAGGAAACAAAATTATGTGTGTCCCAGAGCCAATTTGAAATGGCCAACAAAGAGAAAAATCCTGCCTCTGCCAGAAATCAGACCTTAGTTATCCAGCCAATAAACAGTTTAATCATAGCAATGAAAGGATTAAATACATTTCATAACCTGCAGACATCTTGGGCACACCCATACTTAAATCACAGTTGCACTTATGAGGAAATGTACAAGACTCTATAAGCTTATGTGATGTAAACTAATGGTTTACAAACCGTTTGCATTGCTAAAAATGTAATACTTTCACGTGAGTCAATATATCTTTCATTTGTAAAGAGCTACCTGTCTACAGGGTTGGTACTGTTGCTCATAAAGAGCTTAATATGTATCACAGGAATAGAAAATTGATGCCCTCGCAGTATGATACAGCTTCTTCAGTTTTTCAGTCACACTAATGTGAAACATGAAGTTCTTTCACCTTGCTCAGTTTCCGGTCCTGAAGCATCAGCAACTTTAACTATGTGTGTTTCATAAGCTGTTTGTTGTATAAGTCTGCATTTAAAAGTGTAAACCTATTGTTAGGTAATGAGAATGGCTTCATATCACGATTTGTACCCATTTCTTTCAATCTGGCACTTTGAACTACACCCTTGGACAATGGTCTCACTTATAGATGGACATATTTAATACATTTCTGTCAACATTCATTGCGAGACCTTTTGTATGTGATTTAGTTTCTGCTTAGTTAAAATTTTGCACTCCAGCCATTCTTGAACATTGTAGGTAATGTACTCCATTACATTTTTCAGGAAATGTCAGTATAAAGCATGTTGTTATGACCCATCATATGTTAATGGCTTGAATTTTACTAGAGACTTACTTACAATTGATACTTTCTTTAACAAGTGAATGTAATGTCAAACAGGATGATGATTACATATGATGAAATGGAAAGACTGCAAAGAAAGTGGTCATTAAGGTAATGTTCCACAATTTGACTGGAGGGACTCCGGAAATCCATGTCAGGACAGCCATACTGCAGGCTAAGAAACAAACCTTGGGTCTTCTAAATGCAAGACAGGAGCATGACCCACAAAATTCAATCAATGTGCTGGATATTCCTTCAACTGTAACATGAAGCACTGCCTCTCAATTGCAAGACATAAGAGTATGAGGGTTGTTCAAATGGAACCTGTTTGTAAGTTTGGCTGGGCCACAGTGATGCAGCAGTTATGGGATTTCTTTGCAGATTGGAACCACCAGTTGTTGCATCAGTGGGATGTCTGCTCAGCCCATGATGACAAATTTTAACAGCTTCTATTCCTTCACTGAGAAAATCACTTAACGGGTTTTATTCGAACAACACTCAAATGTCATAAAGTTATCTACAAATGGCAGCATACTTCCCAAATTAATGATATAAATACATGACATGACATGGTATATCATATCCACTTTAACACAGGAACCACGATTATTGAAATTAAGTGTTCAGTCCATTTTGAAATAGATAAATGTTTAAAATATTTATAGCTTCAATAATATAGAATAACTTTACTGCCAGTATATAATTCACATCTTTTCAACTTCCAAGACATAAAAACCTACACCAGAAAACAAAAGCAAAGCATAAAATAGCACCTACTACAATGTAATATAATATATTATTATTATTATTATTATATTAGGGCTGTCTTCTGTTATTTTACATAAATCCACAGAACTATAAGGGTGGGATATTATACTTTTATGGAGTACATGTATCTTCCACGTATATTCTTCCTTATTCTGCATATATCACTGGTCTTGATATTAATTTGATACACATAAATATCTACCATTCAAAGCTGATGACACTAAAGGCATCACAGGCTAGAGAGTAAGAAATTGTTTACCCTTTGTCTTCTTCTTCTTCTCGATCCATAGACACTTCCACTTATTTGGGTCAATCTGGCAACTAAGCCTCTCCATCTCTCTCTCTCTCTTCTCAAAGTTCCTCCTTCCTCAATATATTCCCATTTTCTTCCTTCCTTCTGTGTGACAGTTTTCTTAACATATTTTGCTTTTCTCTTGTTAAATATTCACCATATTGGAAAACGTTTCAAATAAAAGTTGTAGATTGTAATGGTACTATATTCTGTCACATGAAAGCATGATTTCAGTCTCATGTAAAACTGGCGCAATATTAAACTGATGTGGGCCACAATTAAATTTTTCAGATAAATTTTAATTTAGAAACCTCCTCCCTCCCAACCCACATACCACAAGTCAAGTGTGTGGCCACACGATTGTTATCTCCACACTATGTATTTATCTCACATACTTTGTGCAAAGAATTTGTAATATTACAATACTGATTCAAAATGATGAACAAAAGTAGGCTGCAACTCTCACAGTACAACACAACTACCTACTGCACAGTGAGCCTTAAGTGGAAAACTGCTGGCATTTAAAATTCAACGACTAGTTATCACAATCATGTTTGTACCACAGGATGCAGAGAGACAAAAACCAGCCACATCTACTGATGCACCCATCAAATGGAAAGAAAGCAGCAGGTTTGTAAGAATAAGTTATCATTTTAGGTTGGCAAGACATGACACAATAGCATGGCAGAAGTCATACACTTGCCAAAATAAGAGGCTTCTGGGTTCACATATTTCCACAGTTCATTTTTATGAACATGTAATCCATAAGTAAATGGATTCTTTCAAGAAACAGAACCCATAATGTTGCTTCCAATCTGATGATTCAGATAAAATGATATAAACTTAAAAGCATGAAGAATGTTCCTCAACCATCATCAATACCTGTATCACCACGCTTTCCTTTCACTAGGAAGACATTCATATTATCTTTACCTTTCACATACACAGAACCGCGTGGTTCAAATTCGTAACGTTCTGAAAGAACAGGCACACAAGCGCCCCCAACCTGAATCCTTCCCCGAACTCCAGTGGAATCCATTCTGCTGGCAATATTGACAGCGTCACCCCAGATGTCATAATAAAGCTTAGTGGTCCCTATAACACCAGCTGTTACATCCCCAAAATTATACCCAACCCTTAAGACAAGGTTAAATTCAAGCAGGTCTCGATTAAAATCATCAATCACTTTCTGTAATGACATGGCAAAGTCCATAAGCTCAAACAGGTGTTGGTTCGGATGCTTATTCTGGTGTCGAACTGCAGGATTCAGTCCAGAGGCAGCCATGAATGTGCTTCCAATGGTTTTAATTTTTTCAATGTTTCGAAACTCTGGTTTTGTTAACAGATCATCAAAATCTGCTATTAGTTCATTCAGAACTCTCAGATACTCCTTACCTCCGAGGTACGATTCATCATACATCTCATTGAAATTAACAATGCTAGCGAAGATAATACCAACATCATGATGATTTTCGGAGTACTTAGCAGTATTTTTTAACTGGTCAGCAACATGTTTTGGAATTATATTGTGCAGGAGCCAGTCAGCTTGGTTCTTCATGCTCTGAACTCGAGCTTTGTCTCGAGCAGCCACCATGTTGCCATGGAAACTTAATCTGTAACTGATTTCAAATTCTCGGTTTAAGAACCAAACTAAAATAAGCAACAACAAAACATCAAGGAAAATCTCTCCGTAATACAGATTGAAATTGCGATGATCATGTTGTTTTTCAAAATATTCTGCAACAGTGCTTTGATTATGATTGACTGACAGCTTGACCAATCCAGCTGTTGCATTGTGGGTAACAATTTTTCCAGGTCCATGACTGAAGTAGTCAAATGAAAAAAATGGACAGGTATAACTAGCTACTAAAGACACATATACAATTGCGGCCAAAGTCGCCAGAATGCTTTTCATCCAGCAGTTTAACTGTGTAAAATTACAGAAATGAACAAGTCCCACAAATAACATATAACTGTAAAACAGATCTCCACCATGCGTGGAGGAAAAGTTCCCACAGGTAAAATTTGCTAGAACTGATGCTATGGGCAGACTTACCAAAACAGCACCACAAACGTGCCATGGATACCAATGTGAAAACTTATCAAACAGCCAATGTGAAAAATCCATTTTATTGTGTGAGTCAGAAATTGGAACTGGCTTAAGGAACTGTTGAACACAGAGCAAGACAGCAAAAATCTGAACAGCTGTTGCCACTGTGAAGAATGCAATCCATGCATGGGACACACTATAAAGTAAGAAAAGGGAAATTGCAATGGCAGTGTATACCAATGCGGATATGAGAACATCAAAGTAGGTATTAAAACGAGACGTTGCAAGTGTAGGAGGAGAGTCTCCATTCTTCTCCGTAACTCTGTGGGCACAGGCTCGGTATTCACGTTCCATTTCCTTCTGATGGAAGAATAGGGTGATGCTAGAAAGCGGGGGTTTCACAAAATAGCTACGATGTGATGTTACATCCTGAACGCAGCGGATGAGCTGTAGGTCTGACTGTTTGCGCAGCTTTTGGAAACAGATGCTGAAGTTGTCCCCCAGTGGAGGAGGCAGATGGCTCCGCCTTACTTCTTGGTCTGAAAATTAAAAACATTCCATTCTCAGACGTCAATCAGTTGAGTATTTGGTTATTTAATGATGACATTTCAACTGTATAGGTTATATACCATTGAAGGGAATGAGACAAAGCTGTACTTTGAGTAAAACATCTCTGAGGGAACATCGTTACTTGTCTAGGCAACCTTACGGAAAAAAGTCCACTGTATAACATCATCTCCAGCATGGCGATTTGGTTCCCATCAATGCTGAAAACAGAATTCAGTTAACTTTCTAATGATTATGTAATGATTTACATCACTACCCTCAAAGACGTTTTAGACACAGGTAAGAAAATGGATAAAGTTGTCCCTGTGCTTAATTAATTAAGCACAATGCCATGAAGGTGCATGGGGGAGAGGAGGTATAGCTCCACTATTCTTCATTTGAGCACTAGATGGAGGTGAGTGGTCAGCTTCACACCTGAGCTGCTTCAACCCTGGGGAAAGAACCCCTGGATGCTGGATGGCCTCTGGATCTGGTTTGGATGCTGTGGAGTAAAGAAAAATCTCTTTCTCCTGCTGAAAACTGAACCTCAGTTATCAAACCCACAGCATGCTGCTATACTGAGCTATCCTGCCTCCTGTTTTAGATGAAGTGTGATGAATAATAAACAGGTACGGAACTGGTAGGTATAGATTTCAGTTCTTGCCTGGAGAGACTAAGGAAAAGCATAAGAAACCTTGGCCAGGAGAGCCCGTAGCCTGGCTGACAAGCCAGGATTAGACAATCTGCTTCCTTTCAGATATGGCACATACTGAGTTCAAAAATACATGTAGATCCTCATATAGTTCGACAAAATATATTATTTTTTTATTGCTAGTGGGGTGGGACTGAGTCCCTTGTACTGTGGCCACTTCTGGCCTATTGTACCAGCCCCAGATGATAGGTGAGGGTGATTGTGGAGCAATTGGTGGAATGCAGATTGGCAGGGGAAACTGAAGTACTCAGAGAAAACCTGCCCCAGCGCCACTTTCTCCACCACAAATCCCACTTGACCAGACCCGGGATTGAACCCGGGCCTCCGCGATGGGAAGCCAGCGACTAACTGCTTGAGGTATGGCATGGCCTTTGACAAAATATAACTTAGCATTTCAAAACTTTAATTAAGTAGTAGTGCTTAATTTTTCCATATAAAAATAAGCAACATGCAAGTAGAACTGCAACATTTATACAGGCTGTACAGGATAGGGCAGTAAGCACTAGAGAAGAAACACAGGAAATTTGAATCCAAATGGGTAAATAATGGGATAACATCACGATTACCTGTCAGAAACATGACAACCAGCTAGCTAACTCTATGGAGTAGGATACTACTTCAGAAGCTGATGATCACTCAGCTATTCAAGAAATTCCTTACCTTGCAAGGCATCAAAAGGCTCATTACTGTAACTATGACTATTATTATTTTCAATACTTTCCATTGTTTTCAGATTTTTCATTGGTTTGTTTGTAGGAGCCTGTCACTGGATCCTACCCTGAGTAAAATGAATCCAGTCAACACTCAACACACCCCACATCTTTAAGATCCATTTTAGTATTACATTATAATCTAATGACTATGTCCTATGTCTTCCAAGTTACCTGTTCCCTTCAGGTTTTCTGGCCAAATTTCTGTAGGTATTTTTCATTTCTCCCACAAGTTCTGCATGCCCTACCCATCTCATCCTCCTTCGTCTCATTACAGTAATAATATTAGGTGAGGCACACCAAATGGCTTTATAGAACTAGGCAGATGCACAAGTATCAGCAGAGAAGTCCAGGGAATCGTAAACATATATCATAAAGGGAATTATAATGACAATTTCCTGGTGTTAGGTACAGTGATTTGTTCCTGCATGTCTCACTGTTGGGAAAGGCTTCACACACTGGAAATAACTTCTATGAGGGAGGGGGGGGGAGAGCGCTCTAGAGCTATGCAGATGGCATCTGTCTGTCTCTACTCCAATTTTTGGCCACGGTACCAATTCTGAATCGCGTTATGCAATAAAGGAACATCATGCTGAGATGTCAGATACCAACTGCATCATAAGCCAAAACAGTAGAACATACTGATGTTGTGAACCCAACCGGGGAAGGAAGCTGTTCAGGGAAAATGTTGACAGTGAAGGGGTTAAAATACTATGAGATCCATGGCACAGAATGGAGGATAATTTAACTTACTCCTCACATTCTGGAAATCTGAAAGGATGGCAAATGTTAAGTTTATTCTCTAAACGGGAAATTTCTACTTCTCGAATTTCAGTGCGACTGAAGCTCTTCTGTTACTGTGAAACTTACCGTTATCTGTGTCATTTATTGAAGACTGGCTGGATGTATAGTAGCCACTGACACGGTGAGTTAATAGCTCTCCCTGAGCTATTCCATTCATCACATAGATCTGAAAACAATAACCCACAGGTATAGAATTTGTCACTCAGCAATGTTTCAATGGGACCCTAGGTTGTCTGCATCAGCTCTGAATATAGTGTCGAATTATAGGATGATTAGTAAATAAACAACTAGAAATGCCATGGAAAAAAAGTGGTCACTGCCTAATTTAAGGTATTATCTCATAATTTCCCTGGAAACTCTGAGGAAGGCCATGAAACACATCAGTCAGAACAGTTGATTTTTGTAAAGAGGTCTGAATCTTGGACCTCTCACTGCCAGAAACTAAACTATGATGTATGGTTTCAAAAAGGAAGAATTAGAAGGGTTTAAAGAGGGTAAAAGTGGATGTATAGAAGTAGAAGACGAAGAAGATGATGGTTAAGATAAATATAAAGGAAAAGAAGTGGAGGAGAGAAATGAGTAGAGAAACAAGAAGACCAAGATAGAAGAGAAACAGTACCTGCTGCTGGATGCTGCTTCGTCTGCTGTTACTGCGAATTCCAGAATCTTTGCGACTGTTGACAGACATGCAGACGCTCAGCTGATCTTCGTTTGGTGGTGGGACGTCCAGCTGGGACCCAGTATTTTCTGCTGCACCTTCTTCACTGGGGTTCACCAACTACATAACAATATACAGTTGCAATGAAATTCTTCAAAACTGCAAATCTTTGATGTCACATTAACAAATTTAGAACATGCAGTCTTGCAGGTGGATACCAACGTTTTAGAGGACCCTGAAATTGGAGGCAGCATGTCCCTCTAAAATCTTGGTATCCACCTGCAAGACTACAGAGTGCCACAACCCAAAACACCTTACCTGAATGCCAACCCCCAGGAAAACTAAAATCTAATATAGTATTAACAGACATGCTGTCCATCAAACAAGTGCACTTCCTGCCAGTAGCAATGATGCCAAAACTCAGTGAAATATTACATTTTTCTTCATCAGATGTCATCCAGTTTCCAGAAACACTTCACAGACAAGGAAAACAAACAAAACAAACTCCGTGGCCTGTAATCCACAAGCGAACTACACCAACCAAGTGACTGCAGCTTGTTGGCGAAATTAGTGCCAACTTTTGTGGATAGAGGGTGTCATGTGGTCAGGGCAATGGATTGCCACAGCCGTTAATCTCAGTTTTCTAGACTGGGGCAGCTATTTCCTTGAAATAGTTCCTCAGTTATCCTCACAAGGCTGAGTGGATCCTGTTCCAGACCCACCAATTCTCAAAAAATCTGGCAGCGCCAGGAATTGAACCCGGGACCTCTGGATCTGTAGCCAGGAACTGTGACCACTAGACCACAGAGGCGGTCACACCCGATGCTCACTTCACAGATCACATTTTAAAATATGAGGAATCAAAACTGATACAATGTTTTGGTACATGTCTTAGTCCATAAGATTTGAGTCTCTTACAGTAGTGATTATTAGGGCTCGGATTTCTATGACATGTCATATTTTTATCCTGGCATCTTTTCACATGTATAATTAAATATAAACGCATTTCTGACTCTTGTGAACGTGAAAATACGGTTTTTATTGGTCATATAAATGCATATTTAAACCATATTTTAGCTTTAGGTCATATTTGGGCCCGAAGTGATATAAAATCATATTTTTGGTCATATTTTAGGCGAGTTTCACTTATTACTCAGAAATATATTT